AAAATCTTTATCGGCATTCATAGAAGAATCATGGTTTGTTTCACAATCAACTTCATTTTTTTATTGAAAGAATGTGATACAACAAAAGACGGTCAAATTCTTCCTAGCAAGGTTGCTTTCTCCAAACTAATTCAAAATTTCAAAGCAACACAACAGTCCTCCTATGAATTTAGCCAAAGGCTTTGTTTGCCGCAACTTTCTTACTACTTTACTTTTAATCAGTCGCCACATTTTTGTTTGGTTATTATTTTCTAGCCATGTTTTCAAAAATTTCTATGGTAGGAACCTGTCATTTAGAACTAGATATGCTAAAAAATGAATCATAAAAATGTCGTAACCAACTTAATTCAAAATAAAAATATATTTGAAACCTACAAACACCAAGACTTTTAAAAAAGTTATTTTTCCAATAATTGTATTATAATCACATTTACAAAAAACTTCATCCGCCTCAAATGAACCCTAAATTTTCTCAATGAGCACCTTGGACTCAATAAATCAACTTAAAAGATGATTTTTCAATTCTCAATTCAACCACCTCATTCTCAAACAAGTGAAGTGTACCAACTAACAATGAGCCACATCTGACTCAATCAAAGGTGATTCTAAAGTTAACAATATTCGTTGTGGCATTCTTGAATTATTATCAAATCTCATCCAAGTTGGCATCAACTTTCATGGCAAACTCTTCATAAAAGTTCTTTACAGCTTGTCCGACGCACACAAAAAAGAAAAAAAAAATCAACAGGATCTCTTTCATGGAACCACATAGATGCTCCTTCCTTTACTAATGTACTCTAATTCTTTCATTAATGCATAACTTGTTTCAAATAATCTACTGATCATCTGTTAGAAGAAAATTTCAAATAGCAAGTTAACACTAGATGCTTCTTCATAGACATAGATCACGTGTTGACATCTATAACGCGTGTGTATATAGACTCACTGAAATGATACCGAGCCCCAAATTAAAGGCTTTCTTTTCCTTAAGAAGTGGAACAACTATGGCATCAACTATTACTCGCTTGAAAGTTGACTTGCCCTCTTCATCTTGAAACTTTGCTTTGAGTTCACATAATAGGTAGAAGAAGGGAAACTTCCGCTTTCCTTTGTCTGCAATAATCAACTTTGAAGCTAAGTTAACTGAAGGGCCTTCTCTTGAAGTCGAGGGAATCTCGTCGATTCCAGCAAAATCATGAGTAACTTCTTCTGGGAATGGAACTCAATCCAAAAACTCAAACCCACTATCCTCCTATACTCCAAAAACTTCATCTTCAACTTCACTATTCTCAACCTAGATATTGATTTGATCATTGAGTTTTACCTCCTCCAATAATTTAAATTTGAGAGTAGCATCTTAAATCCACACAGCCCCATATTAGGCAACTTCACCACTAAGTCCTCACTATTGTCTTGAACTCATGCTTCCTTATCATCATTGTCTTCCTCCAAAATTGCACTCATTGGAGCAGTGATTGGAGAAAATTCATTATGATCTTAAGAGAAAAAAGTTTTTTTGACATGTCTAGCCCATACAAGATGAAATGGATTTTTTTGGTATTTCGATCTCCTATACTTCTCAACACCTCGGAGAAATCATGAGAATTAAAAAAACTAATGTACATACAAGTTCATCTAGGTCAAATAGATCAAGTTGTATTATTAAAAACATCTAAAATGGAGCACTGACTAGTATTAAAATTTATTTCTATAGTAATCCAAGAGTTTTATGTACTATTAAGTTTACATCAAGAATCAATAATGAATGCACATCTTTTTCATGTTGGCTATTAAGATGAGTACAAAGAATATCAAAAGCAGGATGTCTAAGTGTACGCTTTTATAAATATGAAAATTAAAAAAAAGTGATTTATTCAAAAAACTAAGTGAAAATTTAAAATAACAAGAAAATAATTATAATACAAAGATCTTAGAAGTAGTCAAACAAAAACTAAGTATATGATACATAGTGATTATAATTTTAGCAATAATCATGCAATACTATTTGAAGATAAGATGATACACAAAGTTTGATAGGTTAAAAATCTTAAGTCTATTTTTAAAAAGATATAAAAATATATGAGATCATAACTTCTAAAGCTCAGTTAACTTTTATTAAAATGATAAGTGGCTTGAGAGTATTGTGCAGAGAGATACATGAAGACTTAAATGTGCATTTTATAAGACTACAATTAAAGTATTGATGTTGCACTAATTTGAATGTTGAACTATAAAAAATCCAATGACATCTAAGCTGAGTGCAACATAGATTAGATTATTAAGATGAATGTGAGACAGAATGTAAAGAAGAAATGAAAGAATAATTATATTAGAAAAAAATCTCTATTTTAAAACCCGTTTATGGGGTGCGCCTGGGGCCACCACTAGGTGAGGCGTGAGCCAATTAGCCCAAAGCCCACAAGGGAGGTGCAAACCTCAGAGGCTTATGCACCAAAGCGCCTTATACGCCCACGACCTTAGTTTATGCCCGACGGGGGAATACACCCCACTATTGAGTTAAATAACAAGAAAAAAACCCTAATTTCTCAGACATACCCGAATCAAGCCGATTCACGCGCCTCTCCCGCAGCATAAGGCAATCCCGCGACCACTTTCTCCCGCAGCAGATGATCCCACGGTTGTTTGCTTCGTATCTCGCAGATAGCATTACCAACAAAATATCCTGCACCAAAACGCCTTTTCCTCTGCGTTGTCTACTCAATCTCTCGCACGCAGCGTGACCAGTAGAAGATCCCACAACTGCTTGCTCCCGTAGCGCCTCCTTCAACTGTCCCACACAACATGACCATCATCCTGTACCTTTGTCTCTCGCACGCACAGCGTCTGCTTCATCTCTCCCTCACTGGATATTATTTGGTAAGCAAATTGCACTGGTGTTTTAATGTTTTATAAGGAATTAATCGATTATTTCACTCTAGCTACAGTAAGTTTCACCATAGCTGCAGTAAATCCACAACTTTCAATTGCTTTTGATATTATTTTCTTTTTTAATTTTAATGTGTAAGGTTAGTTATTAACTTGTAATTGGCGGAGGGAATTGTGTGACCAGTAGTAGTCGCACTAGAAAGAAAGTCTTTTATTTTTGTCTCTTAATATATATATATATATACTATGGAGCTTATGCCCAACTTTTTAAGACTTACGCCTCACCTCATAACATCTAAAACACCCCGCCCAAAGCCCGCGTCTTTTGAATCCTTAGAGGAAATGATAAAATAAATTTATTAAAAATATGTTAAATAAACTTAAATAATTCAAACATGTATAATGAAGAGTAGAAAATAAGCTTATTAGAAAATTAATAATAAAATTAGTGTCAAAGCATTAGCAAGTAAAAGGGATAAAATTAAGTTTGCATAGATTCAAAAAATATTTTTGAAGAATAAATTTAACACCTCGGATATGCATTAATAGAACTGAATATGTTAACAAAATTCAAAATTATGCTATTGCAACTTTGTTAAAGGTAACAAAGCCATAATGCAAAAATAACCAAGCCTTAGATTCATATCTCGAAAATCATATGTTTCATGATAATCTCTTTTTCACTTCATTCCCTTTCACCGAGACAATAAAGCAATTTTCAAACACAAAATTGCCAGATCATAGATAAACAATACTCTAAGCATCTTTACTCTTCTAGGTAAAAGTAACCTTACATGCTTGAGAACACACTTCTTTCTTCAAATGCAACTTTACATTAATGGCACTATCATATGCAAAATAAGCTTTTTTTTTTTTTTAAGTCAACATTGTGGTTGTGCTTGGGTTAAGAAGAAAAAAATCAATTGAATAGCACAATTTTGTTAGGTAGAGGTAAAGATAATCACTATCAGTTAACATAGCTACAAAGCCAAGTGATACAAAAGCGTGTACACAAAAGTATTATGGATCTATAATATAAAATAATGGAATGTAAATGAGGACAGAGCTCCTACAGTTAAAACTAGCCTCAAATGTAGTATAAGAGAAATTTATAAATACAAAATAAAAAAAAAATTACAAAACTGTAATTAAATCAGCTAAGCTATTATGCATCGAAGTATCTAGCCTCATAGAAATCATAAATAACCAAGTTGCACATTGTAGAAATAAGATTAGTAAGATGATTGAGAGATAGTACTAAAAAATATTTTATAAGAAAGATTAAGGAGCAAACAATAAAGATAAAACAGAAAAGGATAGACTAGTGATTTCACTGATTTAAACCAATAGCTTTGAATGTAGATCAACCAATGATGGAACTAAATAAAAAATTTGTGTGTTATAACAAAGCTAAAGGAGGTAGAAAATAAAAACAACACTAGAAGTTATGCAAGAAAACTTGCACAAACTAGACCTAGCACTTAACTTAGCATTTACTAGGACTAAATGAAGAAGGATTCATAAACAGGAGCTCAAATAAGAAATAGAGTTAATGCTATTGCTACTGCTGGTTTGGTTGCACATGAGAAGTAACATTGTGCTTATTAGTTTTGATGGTCTGCGCCTTTTAAAACCAGAACTGCAAAAAGATTTTAGATTTTAGGCTTGAACATGTCATCCTTCTGAATTCAACTAATCTAAACTATGAGCTCCTAGAATGTTGCAATGAAAGTCAACGAAAGGCATTAATATTATTTAATAGCAAAATCAAAGGATGGCACAACAAAGCTATATTAAAGTTCAATATCATGATTACAGCATACAGTAGCCAAACAGAGAAATAACTATGACAAATTCCGGTAACTAAATCATTAAATATATAGTTGGGTCTGCTCGTCTTATGCATTTTAGCAAAAGTATGAGGTGCCTCGTATGCCGATAAGCACGAATGGTGCAGCTGTTCCAGAAGAATATATCTAAAATAAGAAAACATTTATGTAATGCAGCAATTAAAAAAGAAAAAAGATCCAATAGAAATGAACACACAAATTGCATCAAAATATAACAAAAAAAAATATGCATTTAATCAAACCACAGAGTACAAACAGCCATACCAACAAATCTTCCACCCCAAAACAGATGTTTTCCATCTTCATCTTCCTCGTCAACCTCATCTCCATACCCAAATTCAGCATCCCCTCTGTATCCAGTCTCGCTGCCATATCCTGACTCATTACCCTGCGAATCAAGTCCACCAGGATACAATCCGAATGATGATCCTTCGCCGCCAGCTCCCTCCCTCCTCAAAACCCTTGCCTCACTAACGTCCGATCCCCAGCTCCCGTCCACGCTCAGAAATAGCTCACCACTGGAGTCAGTCCCATAGGTCACCGGTGGGAAGTCGGAACACGTGGCGTTCGCTGCCGAAGCGCCGCCACAACCACCACGCCGCCGTATTCCGCTCCGATCGCTGCTCCTGCCAGACACCGATCGGGAACCCCTCCGCCTCCTCTTCTGCGGAACTAGCCACCGGAACTCCCTCTCCTCCCGGGCCCTTGGAGGATTAGGGTCGTCAAGAAGGGACAGCCGAAAGAACTCAACCCCGTCAGCTGTGAGAGGCGGAGCAGTCGATCGGTCAGAGCGGCAAGGTTTTTTAGAGCGTAAGGAGTAGGGATTGGGGGGATCGACGGGTAAGGCTTGGATCTGGAACGGCTTCCAGGCGTGCAGCTGGAGGGTGCAGGCTTCGAGTGCGTGGCGCGAATTAACGGCCCTCGATGTCATCTCATCCACCAACCCAAAATCTATCCCCCGTTCCCTCCAGCAAACTTCAAAGAAAGAGAGTCAAGATGAATGAAAAGACGACAACGTAACCAGAGAAAGACTGGAAGAGAAATGAGAGAAGGGAGGTGAATCTATGTCTTTATCGCGCTCTTCTCCGGCGAAAGTAGAAAGGGATCTGGGATTGGCGTTTCTGTTCAGGGTAAAGAGGACAACGTGAGAGAAGATAGTGCGAGGGTCGGAGGTGGCAAGAATATATAGAGAGAGAGAAAACGGATTTTTCAAATGAACAGACCAAATAATTTCTAAGAAAAATCCTAAACTACCCCGATATCTGCTAGTTAGGCGACTGGGGTTTGGGAATCACTATTCCGGAGTGGCTGCCTCACGATGAATCGGTTACAACTGCAATCTTCTCCCACGTTGGCGGAAGTTTGACAACGAAATAAAAAATCTCACGCCAGCTAGTCTTGTTTTCCTTTTTTTTCGCAACGAATTTTGATGTCAATGTGGATATTGATTTTTGATACAGCTTCATTAAAATACAAATGATAATTGTTCCCGAAGATGACATAACCAAAAATAACCTCTGACCAATGTCCGATCTACATCATTGATCACGGTGATCTACGGTGAGAATGCGATCAAATTTAAAAAAAAAATTAATGTGGGACCCACCGAAATACATCATCACCGTAGATCACTATGATCTATGGTGTATCCGTATGCAATAATTTTTCGACATATTGTGGATAATGATTAATGAAAACTAAGAATCTGCACGGGAGAGGTTTAGAAGAAAACCGATTGAGCTCAAATAACAACTCCTCTTCAAATAAAATAGACTTCATCAGCATACATGTCATAAATAAGAGGAGAAAAATGCACTTCCCTGCATGTCAAACCAATTTAAAACAAGAATCCCAAAACTAACACCTCTTAACTCAAACCAAATATCCAAATGCACTTAATAACATCTCTTTAATTCCGGTAATAAAATGTATTTTTCAATAAGAGTTTTTTTTACTATATGGGCATTTATATTTACACATAATTGTGATGTGCTTACATATCTCACATTTAAACTTTTGTATATACACACACAGCACAAATATTTAATATCACAATAAAAATAACACAACTACAATTTTTTATAATTGAAATTTATCTTTTTATATATGCATAGTTTAAAATCCCAAAGTGTTGTATATGTAAATATGAAACTTTAGGTGAGATATGTAAATACATAAGAATCGTGTGCTAGATATGTAAATTTCCCTTTTTTTATTTATGTTTGTATTTTAAATTAAATTATGAAACAATTTCCTAAAATTTAAAAACTAAATATCTAAATCTACATAAATTATTACAAATTTATAATCTTAAATAAAAATATAATAGCTTCATGTTATGTCTTTTGATATTAGATTTTTAAAATAAATGAAGGTTTACATACGTACCGTCCAATGCTTTCGTATTTACATATCTAACACCTGAACTTCAATCTTTGCATACGTGCCACATTCCCTATGCATGCGAAGATGAATTCCACTTTTTAGAAGTTACAATTGCGGTGTTTGTGATATGATATGAAATATTTGGATGAAATAAATGTAATAATTAAAGTTTAGGTGTTGGATATCTAAATACATAAGAATTGGGTTGTATGTATGTAAATGTCTAAAAAATAAAAGCAAAAAATAATAGTTTAAAAAGAGTAACGTGCCTTCTTAAAAAGAATTGAAAAGTAATTTATTAGTTTCCTGATAATTTTTGGAAGTTTAATGCAAAGCACAAATCACTTGCAACTATACATAATCCAACCTTCAAACTAATGAGTTTTGATTAGGGCTGATGCTCTTGACTAATTAGCCTAAGGACAAACTTCATTTTGTAAATTCTTAAAGGAAACACTACTTATAGGTTGCATGGGATGTTTGATTCTCTTCAAGATATCAAAATCTAAAAAATAAAAGAAAACTATTGAATTAAAGCTATCTATGAGTATATACTAATAAGATTGCTTGGAGCCAAGAGATAAATAAGTATATATCAAAATCTCAAAAATAAAAGAAAACTTTTGAAACCAAATATATATATATATGACTAATGTTTGGTAATTACTAGTAAGATTGCAAGGAAAGAAGAGATAAATAAGTATAGAGAAAGCTATATGATTTCTTATTATCAAAAAGTAAAAGCATGAGATAATATTATATAGTATAGGCTTGCCCTCTAACATCTTATTTCTATGTCAGACATCGATATTATTTTGTGAGAAAGATTACATTTAAACAAAATTGTAAAGTACAATATATAGCATAATATAGAAAACCTCTCGTTGATATAAAAATACACTAGTTGTGGTTCTAATAAATCTTGAATACACATGTATAATTTTTTGAATATGAGTAAGGTCACGTAAAATTGTTGATTGATTTCACTTTCATCGATTGACCTCTAGTGAATAACCACGTCAAACCATTTGGATGACTTTGAGTAAATAGACTTTAAAGCAAAGTTGATAGGCAAGTTGCTTTGATTAAAAGCTTTGAACAAATATGTCTAATTGTCCTTTAGGTTGAAGTAGTTGGGAAAACTGTTTTAATGACTTTATGCTACTTCAGTCCTGAAGTAATCGACCCTTCTAGAAATATTGCTATGATGATACCACTTATAAAAAAATTAGTTTACAAGCAAGTTTTTTTATTTCTCAACTCATTATCAATGATGATTGTGCAAGTTATAATGATAAATGTTGTTCGTCCAAATGAAATCACAATTAATCTTGGTAGTAGGTTTTATAAAGCCTTTGATCTCAAATCATTTGATGAACTACCCAATCATCCCTAAAATAAATTTCTTTATCAACTTGTTAAGAGAAAAGAGCTAAATTAGCCCATCCTCTGAAAAACAATGAATAAGAAGCCTATGATATAGTTCGAGCTACAATAGTACAAATTATTAGCACTATATGCATTTTTTGAAGAGTTTCTCAGCATTACTTAAGATAATCCAAAAGTATTATTTTTTTCAATTTTTTGTTCGATAAGTTTCTTTCTTCTAAAAGACCACTTCCTTTCCCCAATTGGAATTCTTCCAAGATGCCATAAGTGCATCTTCTTTGAAACATAATACATAACTTTTTTTTTAAATAACTCATTATCAAATAGTAGGAATTACATCATCTGACATTCTCCCATTTTTTTAAGTATTTAACAAATATATATCTACCAAGGCTGAATGACTTCTAGCTCAATCTCCATAAGTTTTACCTCATTGATGCAAGAAAAGTAATTTTGAAGTTGATCTCCTATTAGGATTTCCCGCATCTTTGATGGGTTTTAATTAATTTTTTTAGCTTTATCCTGAGTGAAATTAGCTAAGGACTCAACCAAGTCTTATACCTTAATGACAGCTTTTAACATGCATGAGATTTAAAACTTCTTTATTTCTATTGACAACTTTACAAGTCTACCGAAGATACAGGTGATGACTTGGACTTAGAAATCTTAAAAATAAGATTAAAGCAATTAAGTTATAATTACTAAGGCTTAAAATAAATTAATTATAATTAACTACATAAATTTAGCACTTGGATGTACTTTTAAATTTATTTAGTGATGTGATACTCCTAAAATATATAGGCTTTTTATACACATTTTTATAACTATTTTTGAGATATTGCGTTTTGATAAAATGTATTTGTGTTTTTTTCTTTCATATGCAATCAAATGGATGAAAAAGGGTAAAAGGAGTGAAAAATGGATAAATTTGGAGCAAAAATGAAGAAGGTGCAAAAATGAACTGAGGCGCCCAAACACCCAGGACTGCCGCGCCTAAGCGCCAAGTACCTCGCGCTTAAGCTCCAAAAGTAGTTATTTGATGATTCATTGAATTTAAATAATTTTTTTAACAGGTGTTTGAAGCAACCCTTGGTAAAAATGTGGGAAATGGCTCATGGACACGAAAATTCATTCAATTAACTTTCGAAAGAAGGCAACTTCTAGAATATTCATTGAATGGAAACACATTTTGAAAAGAAACCAAAATACCTTTTGGATTTTTATTTAAGAAGACTTGGATCATCAAAGGAGGGAGAGTCAGTCAATCCCAACCAATAGCCATCATCCATCCAAGTAACCGTCGCCCATCGCCGTCGCCGCCACCAGCCACTTTTATTTTATTTTGAGTTTTAGTTTGTATTGTGAGTGAAGAAAGAGAATTTAAAGGAACTTCAAGAAATTTGGTGGAGAGAATTTGAGATAAGTGTTTATCTTTTTTACTACATTTGGTTTTAATTTGGATTTCTTGTTTGTGTGCATGATTTCTACTTTTAAACTCATGGGTGGTTGTGTTTTCTCCATGGATTCTGAGTATTTTTCTTTATCTTTTTCCTTAAAATGATAAGTGAATAAGTGTTGAAAGGAGGTTGTGTGAAGTATTAGACTTCCATGTTGGAATAAGTTGTGTTGACTTGAAATCTTGTACTTCATTTACTTATTGATTTTGCTAATTAAGATGTTAATACCTGTTGTGCATGTTGGAATAAGTTGTGTTGACTTGAAACCTTGTACTTCATTTACTTATTGATTTTGTTAATTAAGATGTTAATATCTGTTGTGAGAACATGTAAGATCTGAGATGGTATTGTCTCAGTTAACAAATGATAAGTATCACATATTGATTTCGTGGATGAGAATGTAGTTCATGGGTTGGAGTGCAAATAAATAGAGAAATACACTTTCATGGGTGTAGAATTAGAGGATTTTAGAGTGACAGACTAAATTCCCTAATTTGATTTATAATGTTAGGTTTTGATACGAGATGTTAGCCCTCGGGTGGAGGGAGAAGAGGGAACTCTAGAGTGAGATTTAGTATCTTTCCTACCTAACCAGTCTTCAAGACAATTCAAACTATAGATTAGTCAATGTTCTTTATAACAACCAGTCCTCAAGCCAATTCAAACTATAGATTAGTCAATGTTCTTCATAACATCTCTATTAAGGGTAAAGAATATTATTGCTCATATTAACACATTTAAAATATTTCCACAACATAATTTCTATACTTGTCATTAATTCATGATAAGAAAAAAGATATTTTATTTATTTTAGAATATTTCCACAACATAATTTCTATACTTGTCAAATACATGATAAGAAAAAAGATATTTTACTTATATTGCCTTCATCTTGCAAATATTTAGTTAAGTTAATTAATTGCTTATTTTATTTTCAATTATCAAAAATTACAAAAAAAAATTAAATTTTCATTCATATTATAGCATCTTAAGTTTAAGTAAGAATATTTTGCTCAGTAGGATTTTTGTTATCTAAAATTTATAGTTTTTTAAAGTGCATGTTGTCAGTTTTCTCTGTGGGTTCAATATC